ACTGACTGTATATAAAGACACTGACAGTATATAAAGACACTGACTGTATATAAAGACACTGACAGTATATAAAGACACTGACTGTATATACAGAGGAGGGGTGACAGATGTGTCTCATGATGTGATAGTTTATTATGAGTATATAGGCTCAAATACATTGTTCTTTATAGAAGTCAACATAACATACTTCATATACTGATACACGTGTCATAAATGACCTTGTACATATACATATACAGAGATAAAGTGACAGTTGAATTAAATTCTGGGCATAAAACACATCTCATGTTATTTACATCACGTTACTTGTCTTCAGTTCTATTCTCAGTTTGATTATATAACAACTTCTTTATACAGTGACGTCGTCTGAGCCCGTCAACAGAACAACATCCACCTGTGAGATTCAGGTTCTGTGGAATCGAACAAGTGATGAGCTTCTTCAGGTGAATCTGTGAGCGTGTGGTCGACTTACTGACGGTGTTAAAGAGGAAGTCACTGAAACACTGTGAATATGCTAATATGTTGTAATGCTAATAATGCTAACAATGCTACGAAAGCGGCCGAAGTCTGAAAGATATCATTTCCTACCATTCCATCGTGTTTTGGTTGTTGGGTGTTCCGTTCTAAAATGACCAGTGAACATGATAAATGCTAATGCTACATCAGTCAAGCTAACAGAAACTACTTTGAGAATGAATAATATTCACGTTCGGGAAACATCGATATATTTGATTTGGTGCTAAGAAGTTTGTCAGTGTCGACAAACTCTGTTTTTGCTGACATGTAATAAAATATCTTTCTATTTTGAAAAAGATCAAAATTGTTAAGTTGTGACTGGAGGAGATCAAACCACCGACCTTCCTAAAAGTGGACGATCCACTTTACCTCCTGAGCTACATCTGTTTAAATAATACATTTGTTACATGTCTCTGCAAGTATGATCTGAGCTAAGACTGCTAACGGCTGTTAGCATCGGGAATAAACGTAAAAACTAACCAGCAGGACGATGGATCGTTCTGAAGGAGCCTGAGAGACTGTAGCGCCTCCTTGTGTTCAACACACACATTACAACCTGGAACACAGAACAGTTAGCATGCAAACCAAAGCACGACATCATCATCTCATAGATACGTGATTAGATACGAACTCATCATGCAACTGTTACACAAGTCTACACGTGTTTGTGTACTCGCCATGGTGTGTGTGTGTGTGTGTGTGTGTGTGT